CCCGCTTTTTCTTTTTTTGAATCGTGAAATCCCCGCCGGTCACATGTTCCGCTCCTGGTAGCCAGCAAGTAGCTGATTGGTTGAGAGCTTGTAGTTCCGCACACACCTCCCTGTTCACGCAGCGGTCGAACCAATCCTGACGAATGGCAGACTTTTCAGTTTCAATTCTAGTTTTACAAATATTTAAGCCATTTAAAAAATAAAATTATTAATAACAAACATTAAGGGTGAATTGTGCAAATTTTACGCCCACACACACTCACACATTTTTGCTTGACATAGTTTTACGGCATCATAAATAATATAAAAAAGGACTTTCCTCGAAATAAATATTACGTCTCAAAGTCGTGAAAGTAATAATAATGAAAGGAATTCTTACAATTACACGCGAGATAATGCTGTTCTACGCTCGTATGTAATTGTGAGATTGTTCAAAATTTAAACCAAAATGCATGCACTTTTTGAACTTTCGTTATTTGAAAATCAAAATCAAATATTTCTATATAAAAGTTGGCCCTACTGACATTTGACATTGTTCGTGAGAAATATAATCCAAAAATTGTCAGACTGTCCTAAACAAAATCATCTACTGGGGACAGGTCAACACTTTGATGAATATTTGATAAATATGAAACGTCAGTGTTCCAAAACTGAAACACCCCGCCGTATGGACCACAGACCCGTTCGAATGGTTCGTGTGTTTACGGTTTTACACCCTCAATACCAACATAGGATTTATTCATCTCCCCCAGAAATGTGTGTTTTGTGGGAAAAGTGTTTGCTATCTTGGAAGCTAATACCCCATAAATGTTACCTTCTGCATTGCTATATTTGATTGGTTCTTTATCTTTCATTAATATACGATGCTACAGCAAAAGAGATAAAACATAATGAATACCCTGTTTAGCACAATTAATGAAGCTATCAATTACTTTTTTCATAAGAATTTTCACGTGAACTTCGCTTATTTATTTTGAAGAAACAGTGCCACTATCTTGTTTAACGCTGCAATTGTTGTCGCTTAAAGATAGTTACTTTGTCTTACATTTCGGTAAAAACTGGTTCAAACTAAAATATTATTTTGCTACATAAAGTAGCTAAAAACAATTAGACTCGGTAGGCAGGTCTGTAAATGCAACCGTCGGCAATGAATGACTTAAGTTCCTACCCCGTTCTAACAAAAATCTGCCATTCGGTGGTTTGCCTATTGTGCGTCTCTAACTTTGCCGCTAGCGGACTGTGACGATGGCGATGCGAGGCCGAGGACACAGACGCTTCGGAAAAAAAAAAAACTTGTAAACAAGTCTGACGCCTACTGCTAATACTTTCTAACATCTGCTTCGTAGTGGTGTTGTATTTAAATACCAACAAATATCGAATTGAACCGGTGTATTCTTTGTGCGAAGTGAAAGTTGTTTTGTACTGCCGTACTTTACTGAGGTGAGTAGCAGATCAGTTTTTAGCTGTGATTATTTCAGCAAGAATTAATGTGGAAGTTTAAACAAACAAAATGTAAACCAGCGACGCATTTTGTTAGTTTACAATAGTTGACAGGGTAGACCTGCTTGTGGACCTGCCCAAGGTTGGATTGTAATGGATAAAATGACTGAAACACGCGATGCTTTAAAAAAAAAATTAAAACATTAAAAAGAAATAAAAATATTATATTTTATTACATTGAAACTGTAAGCACATGTGTTTGAACTTACTTACACACGGTTGTGGAGTTAAACTTTTAATTCATTAAATCCGTGCAAGCTGATGGCCGCCAGTTGATGTATTATGTAAGGGAAGGGGTGGTCATTTATCTATTTGCCTGGTTCTAAAATTGTGATCCCGAGGAAGTCCAGTATTTTCCAGCTGAACTGAGTAGTCTCGTTGCCACGTAAAGTGGCTGACCATCGCTTCCACATTCAAATTGCCATCATAGGTAAAGGTTTTACATTTCCAGCTTTATTTATAAACACGGAACTCGAATTTATACCGTTAAATCCTTTCAACCCCTCCCCTCCCACGTAAACACCTTTTGGCTTCATTCCACCCACTTTTAAAAGAAAAAAACCCAACATTTTCAAGCTTAAAACGGTGCTTAAAACTAATCAGAAGTAACCAACGTTTTATATTGACTTTAAAAATCTTTCTGTAAAACCCACACAGTTGTCACAGTATGTCTCCATGAAACAGAGGGGGGGGGGGAAGGTGGTGGGGTGGTGAGGTGTATGACTTCTCCACTCCTGTTATATGTAAATTTCACGTCTTTATTCGTCATGGTTTCGTAGAGCATTTCACCTGACAACGACGTGGATGCTCTTGTCTCAATGGAGCAGTGGGTTAGCTGCGCCATTTAGCCGGAGGCCCAGAGATATGTGCGGAGGCCCAGAGATATGTGCGCCATATTTGTCTTGTTTACCTGCACCCCTTCTTATTTAACTCATCTCACCTAGCCCCTGAAATGTATTATAACTCATATTAGGGAAATGTGAGGAAAAATCACGCTTGTATCATCTGGATTCGTTTCTGTTAACGTGCTACGTCAGAGTTTCGAGTCCCGTGTGAGGGAATGTACTAGTGGGTGTAACCACAGACGTGTGTCATGGGGAATGGTATTTATCTTCGCGCTGTGGCCCCGTTAATTAGTAGGAGTACATCGCCGGCTAAGGGCGGGGGGGGGGGGGGGGGGGGGGCTGAAATGGCCCGGCACAATTCATGGCTAACACGGTGAGGTGCTCTGAAGCTTGGCTTGCATGATCAGCAGTAGTATGGTCATGGTTGCGGGAAGTCGGGGAAACTATACTCCCAATTTAAGCACATTCCGGCCAATCCCGCCGGCCAGTGATGACTTTTCATTGACGTTAACCACATGACACGGTGACATAACATTATGTTGATTGTTATAATTAAAAAGTAGTCCTTGAGTTGGTGTGTCTCTGGAGTGTCTGAAAAGTCTAATACTTCACAACCCAACATACACACACTATGGCAAGTTCTAAACCTGAAATACATTTAAATATGTTATTGTCACTGACCCATTTAAATGGTGTTAGAAAAGGGAAAAAAGAGTAATTAAATCGTAATTTTATTTTTCTTTCTTCGTAGAAATCTCTCCTCCCCCCCCCCCCCCCCCCTGGGGGGGGGGGGGGGGGGGGAGGGGGGGGGGGGCGACGGCAATTTATTTGGGACGGCACATTCCAACAGAATGTAACATAAGCAGTGTTGATGTGTGATTAAAATAGACTGTCCCTGACCCTGTGTTGAATCTGTTTTCCTCCAATAATCACTGCCCACTGTTAATAAGATGAGAAACTCTATGCTTTGTGATCACATTTCTTAAGCGATCCCTTTCTTAAGAAGTTTTCCTGTCATTCAAGCGTCACTGTTGTTGCTTTGAGAGCGCTGGAGTCGGCGACTAGTGGGGCATTTAATTTTCCAAACTTCCGATGAATAAGTTAAGCTGGAGTCGTCACAAAATCTATTCTTTTAAAAAAAAAAAAAATTTTTTTTCAGTTTGAGATTTTCCCAGAGCCACTCACTACTAAATTTTCTTTTCAATAAGTCATTGAGTAAATTATCCAAATGAAATTATTTATATTGGAATATGTTAAAACCGGTACTGAGTTGTTTTTTATTAATAATTTTGCAAGCGTTGCATTAAATAAAAATTTAAAAAAAATAAAAAATTCGCGCTTCGAAGTCCACAGACATTAAAAGCTGTCCTGTGGCCGTCACTAGGATTCATCAGATCTAAATGTCATACAAGCAAAACCCGGGAAGATTACATACATTTATCGCTTCCAGACATATCTATAACGATGGTATTTACTGAATTATCTATTTTAATCCACGAGAGACAACCAGCAACTTCCAACACAATTGTCAATAGTTGGTGTCAATGTCCTCATGCCGTCACGAGAAGTGAGCAATTGAGCATGCGTAAACAAGGTGTCTATCTATGTGGCGATAAGCCGAGATATTTTGGTTGAGGCGAACAAGCGGGCATTTGTTGACTGGTGAGAGGGGGATTGCCTTGGAACTGACATAAACAAACACGTATGTGATCCTGTTTACACTGTGATCCTGTTTACACGAGTATTTTTACATCAGTTGGCTCCAGCCCCAACTACGCTGTTCAAACGGGAAACATGTTGCTTGCTGGGAGTTGCAGCAAATAGTGAATAGATGCATTGATGGAGTTGTGGGCATTCGATGTGCGAAACCACAGTCTAGAGCAGTGAACAAGTAGCGGTAGTGGAATGGTGTTCAGAAAAAACAAGTATCCCGGGTGACATTCTGGCATCAAACCTGCTACCCTTAACAACTGTATGGACGCCACTTTCTATCTCCGTGGAGCAGACCTACAGACGTTCATACAAACCATGATGCATGCAGCTGGGTCAACTCAGGGGATATTTTGACGATCACCAGACATTGTGTTCATTTTTTCACATGTTGAGTAGGCCTATATGAAATGTAGGATGTGATCGGCCATCAGTGCCATAATTTCGGCCATCAGTGCCAGTATTTTGGCCATCAGTGCCAGTATTTTGACCATCCATGCCAGTATTTTGACCATCCATGCCAGTATTTTGACCATCCATGCCAGTATTTTGACCATCCATGCCAGTATTTTGACCATCCATGCCAGTATTTTGACCATCCATGCCAGTATTTTGACCATCCATGCCAGTATTTTGACCATCCATGCCAGTATTTTGACCATCCATGCCAGTATTTTGACCATCGATGCCAGTATTTTGACCATCCATGCCAGTATTTTGACCATCCATGCCAGTATTTTGACCATCCATGCCAGTATTTTGACCATCCATGCCAGTATTTTGACCATCCATGCCAGTATTTTGGCCATCCATGCCAGTATTTTGACCATCCATGCCAGTATTTTGACCATCCATGCCAGTATTTTGGCCATCAGTGCCAGTATTTTGACCATCCATGCCAGTATTTTGGCCATCAGTGCCAGTATTTTGACCATCCATGCCAGTATTTTGACCATCCATGCCAGTATTTTGACCATCCATGCCAGTATTTTGACCATCCATGCCAGTATTTTGACCATCCATGCCAGTATTTTGACCATCCATGCCAGTATTTTGACCATCCATGCCAGTATTTTGACCATCCATGCCAGTATTTTGACCATCCATGCCAGTATTTTGACCATCCATGCCAGTATTTAAGCCATCAGTGCAGCATGTTGTGTGTGACACGCACAGATGAATGCACAAACAACTGAAGGCTGGCAACATTTGGTCAGTGATGCTCTATGTACTTTTGGTGAATCAATTGAATCCCCATTTCTTTCTTTCAGCAAATGTTATCAAATCAGGTCATGGCAAAGAACACCTCTATCCACTTGTGTGTACGGTGTTTCAATTGTGTTCAGCAGCCAATTCGTGTCCGATTCAGAGCACCCACCTTGTACATGTACAGTGTTTCAATTGTGTGTTCAGCATCCAATTCATGTCCCGGGTTAAAGCACCCACCTTGTACATGTTTGGTGTTTCATTCGTGTGTTCAGCAAGTAATTCATGCCCCTGTTGTTTTAAAGCGCCCACTTTGTACCAATTTTAATCTTTGCTAATTAAAAATAATATTTTGTGATACTAATCTTTGCTTATTTAACAGATTATCTCTCTATCTTGCAGATTTTTGTCATGTTCTTTCATAATCTGATACACATTTGGGTTAACTTATTTTACACATCTTACATCCAGGGGCTCTTAAGAAAAATGTTGAACTAAATTTCAATGTAAGCAAGATTAAATAAGCTACACTCTAGGCCTGAAAGAAGTTAGTTTTGTGTGGACAAGATGGTGCTTGTGTAAAGTGTGTGTATGTGGTGAGGGGCTGTTAGAGAGTGTACTGTATGGGTCCCATTGAAACCACTCAACTAGGCCTACTTCAAGTTTTCGTAATTGCTGTTTAAAACAGTGTAAATTATATAGTCTAAGTCTATGAAATTATGTTGTGCTATCCACTCAAACATCTCATTTCTTCTTACTCTGGTGAAAACCAAATGTATTGTGACCTATGTGAGGGAGTAGTGTTGGTACTATACTGGTTAAGAAACCATTGAACCTAACCTTGTTCTCTCCTCCCCCAAAAACCTTTTCTTGTTTGAGCCTTTTCCCACCACATATGATTATGTCTTATTGCAAATAAAAGAAGTAGTTCTTTTTTAAATATTGAATGTCTTTGTCAAGACCTATTAACTTTTGCTCTCTCGCATTCCCGGGCGTTCCCGGGAATCCATGTTGGTTGTGAACAGAGGTTAAACAAGGTTGCTCTCAGTGACAGCCCTTTAGCGCGAAGATGCTCAGCCAAGGTTAAAGTCGGGAGGGGGGTGTCTTTTGCTCAAACTTGGCCTGTGTTATCTTTGACTACAAATGGGCCAACCCTGGTATGTGTGGGTGAGGGGTTATGTGCAAAGATAGGACAAGAAAGGGGGTAAGGCTCATTGTAGAGTGTTTGCTAAACTTTCCTTGCAGTGTGGGGAAATAGATTATGTTCAAAGAAAGTTTGAATGATACTTGGCTAAACTTAAAATAGAAAACACTAAAGACAGAATATTACCACCCACACTAATGCAATGTTCTTGTTGCTGATACAATGTTCTTGTTGCTGATAACGTATTGGATGCTCATACCATGTTGTTGGATGCTCATGCCATGTTTTTGGATGTGCATGCCTTGTTTTTGGATGGTCATACCATGTTGTTTCGAAGTGTCACTTCTGCAAGATGCAAATGCATTTGAACGAGTTTTTTAAATTTATTTGAAAGGAAAGCTAAAGTGGGTGTGAAACTGATAAAAGGAAAGTAAATTCTTCATATTTGAATTTTGAAAAAATCTTAGTTCCAACCACTAGCTCATCACAAATTACATTTTAAGATGTCTTGTAAATTTATGACAATATGATTATTAACTTCCCCTTACAACAAGGACTTTATTCATCCTTGAGATTCAGCTTTAGTTCTTGACCAGACAAACCAGAATTGGTCAGATATTTCATTGCAGTCTGTAGCATATAGTCTATTCTAGTCTAGCTACAAACATTCACCTTGTCACTCCATTCTCTGTAGTGTATTCTGTACACCACTGTCAGTGGCAGGATAGAGGGGCAAAGGAAAATGTGGAGCAAGAGGACTCAATCAAAAGACAGTTTTAAGGTTGGGTCACCATGATTTCTCTAATCAAATATCTTTGCGAAATTGAAACTGCTTTCATGTGCACACACAGATAAATGGCTCTCCACCATTTAATATTCTGACATTATTTTTAAAAAATTGGCCTAGATTACACTGCTCCATTGGTCTCCATGACAGCAGTTGTGTCAATCACTCAATGTCCACAAAACTAAGCCAGGCTGTGGGGATAGTTTTGGCATGGTGTAACCAAGGTGAGGCTCTGATGAGGTTATTTGACAAAGCAGATAGAAATTTGGACTTTAAAATTTTAGGGATACTTACTTGTATAAACTCTAGACATCTGCAACTATTTTATTTATGGTTGGAACTTTTTTGACAGAACTTTAAGAAGTGTATAATGAAAGCAATTATTATCATACACAAAGTTAAAGCTTTTCAACAACTCCAAAAGGAAAAGTCTCTCCTGCCAAGTGATTATTTTTGGGGAAGAAAGAGTTGGATAAAAGAAAGAAGAATAAGAAAAAAGGGGGTGGGGGGGGGGGGAATGTACTCCTCTCTCATTACTTCAGAGCTTCAATACAGATAGAGAAATTAAAGTTGTTTAAAGTAATTTTTTGTGTTTTAAGAATTACTCAACTGGTTTACTTATAAACAATATTATTAAGCTTGTTGGGACATTTATATTATTATTATTATTATTTTAAATTAGTCCAACAGTTTTAAAACTAAGACAAACTTACAGACACTGGAGTACATTACATATTGGTGACCTTTATCCAAACTGCCCTTGACCTACTTTGACACAAATCTTAATTGCTCTTATCTGACTACTGTGTGCATATACCAACTTTCTATTAACTTCATGTTGATGATGTTGATATATATTGATCTCTTCCATGTATAGCTTTTGTTTGGTTTGGTAATCACATTCACATGTTTATACCACTGGTTCGTGGAACACTACAGATCTAAACTTTGGTACATAGCTCAGTCCATCAAAATGAGCTGGATTATTAGGTTACCAATTGTGTCATTATTAGTCATTATGTCAAAATTCAAATAAAAAGATGGAGGAGCAATCTGTGTTTAAATAGAGGATTCTAACAATAGTACATCCAAGTGTTAAAAAAACAAACCTCTCTTATCTTACTTCAAACACAAAATTGGCACTTATCTTGTGTTGAAAGAAGATGGAAAGCAGTCAATCATGATAAGTTTTCCCATTATACTTCCTCGTTATTAAAAATTCTTAGTATAATGGAATAATAAGAAAATAAAAGAAAGGGACTTTTTTCTTGTTAAAATGCTTGTATGCACCTGTCATTTAAATCTTAACATTTTGATTATGATGGATAACATTTATAAAAGTTTGATGTACATCATTTTCATTAAATTTCTCATGTAAAGGCTTAAAGTAGTGGTGATGTAATGTGCAACTGGCCCCCACTTTAATCCAATTTAAGCTCACTGTCGAATATAGCCTTGATCATCTTAGATTGCCAAGGACAATTAACAACACTCTGTATATTGAATAAAGTGTTTAGCACCTTAAGGTTATTTATTAGATGGGATAAAAGTTAATAAAAATGTTCTGTTAAATAGATTTTTGTTATAAATGACCGTAGTGGTGTTTGCAGTTCTCTCCCCCTTCCCCATTTTTTTTAATCATATAAGAACCGAAGCTGAAAATTTTTAGATCCTCTTAATTAAAATAAAAATTATTCAAGACTTTCACTTAGTTTATTTCCATAGGAAATTAGATTTTGAGTTTCTTTTTTTTTTCAATGTAACTTTATTACCAGTATTGAAACATTAAATAACTTTTTTTTAAAATTAGTTTTAAAAGGGAAGTTTTTCATTCCCAAGTATGAATGTGTAAATAAACATTTACCAGGTTTGGCTAAGCTTGACTCTTACTTAAAATATTAAACTGATTGCCTTAAACAACAAGCTCGTTCAGGGGTGGCCAACCCAAAATGCTTCAAATGCCACTTGAATACCAAGTAAAACTTTTGCAGGCCACAAGTCATTAAACCTGATATTAAAAAAAACACCCACAAAATGCTGAATAGAATAATTTATCTATTTTTAATGCACATAATGAAATGCAAAATAACAAATAAAACTAAACTAATGTGATAGTTGTTAATCTTGAGTCTCGATTAACTTTTTAAAGTCAATTTCTTTTTAAATGGAATGAAAAAAGAAATTTTATATTTGTGATGAATCAGTCATCCGTGGGCTGCAATATTGAACATGTGATGTGGGCAGGGGTTGGCAATCCCTGATTTAGTCAGTCAGCTGTTGTGGTCTGTTTCACAACAGCTTACTTGGGTGGTGGTCAGCCAGAAAAGAGTTCAACCTTACATTCTCTTCTTGCTAGTTTCACAGTTTAATGTCCTGTATTCTCTTCTTGCTGAGTTCACAGCTTACTGACAATATAAATTAAAAGCTAGCCCATGCATTATTTAAAAATTTCTATTTTGCTTTTTTCCAGATCACCAGTACCCAGATAATTCTGTAGCATCCCCAGTCAGCCATGGCTTCTACCAAGACTGCCCCCACTGCACTGTTGGCTGAGATCAACAAAGGTGACACTAGCAACCTTCATCATGTTGATCCCAAGGAGAAGAACCCACTCCCATCGGCTGAAGGTTGGTGTGCTTTACTCAGTCAACAGTCACATGTCATCCTATGTAACACTGACTAATAATTTAGAGACATTGATGATCAAGACATCAGGGACATGTCATGTATTTATAATACTGGCTAATAATTGGGAGATATAATGAGCAAGACTAATGGGTGTTTTCATTATTTCTAACTTGTCTGTCAACATTGATTGCATCTATAAGTATTGAGTTCATTTATTTAACCAGTGCCTGTGACAGCTTAGTATATGCATACTCACTGACCATTACCAACAACATGTATACATTGCTCTTAAAAATCTTTGGTCTCTTTAAGAAAACTTATTGGTATTATGTACCATAAATGGATGCTTTGCGTAATAAAATAATAGGATATATTTTTTAAATGGCTTGGTAAACTTCTTCAGAGCCATGTTTTCAATTGTTTAAAATATGTTGTCCATTCAAACATAGGACACTTATGCAGTTGTTCATAAACAATTCTTTCTTTCTGTTGGTTTGTTTCTCTGACCACATAGCAAGAAGGTCAGAGGTTATTTGTTCTAATTTTTACTATTGGCTTTTAAAAACATTAAATTGGAAGCTTACATTGGATCATTTGTTTAACTACCCTATATTAAAATTTTAAAATATGCTTCAAGTTTTACCTTTGCAATGGTCATCATGGTTCTTATATTTTCAAATTATACCTTTGCAATGGTCATCATTGTTCTAGAATATTTCTTTCAATCTTATTGTTATAAAGTCTTAAAAAAATTATTTTGGTGATCCCTATGTCCCTGTGTCTGCCTAGTTTTGTATGTCCTTTTTTTTTTCCTCTGCAAATCTTTTGGGTAATAGTGCATGACATGGGATTTTTGTACCATTTGTTTCCCTTGAATGCCTTTGGATGATCCACCCTTTGTAGATGTCCAGCAAGAGCGTCTTCACCAGAATTTACTGAATGGGGTTAACCAGTTTGATCCAGCAAGCCTCAATAAGGCCCGAACCAAAGAGAGGGTCATTCTCCCCGACTCCGGCAGTGAGTGGCCAGAAATGGACCACATTTGGTCTACTTTTTTTCTATTTTGGTCAACTCACTAGTCAAACATTATATGTGAATTTTAATGTTGGAAAAAATATACATAATAAGTTGGAAATGCTATTAAAAATCCATAAGATTGTAAAGTTTTTCCACTTTGGGGGTTTTGTTCACCAAATCAAGATTTTAGAATAGTAATTTGCACTTTTTCTGATTTTCTAAACAGTGACAGTAAAAATATACTATTTATTTATCTAATTGCTATGAAATGTGTTATAAAATGATAGCAAATGTGTGTGGGCTTTAAATGAACTACATATACTTTGTATAAGATCTGTACCATTGGGCTCAGATCTGCAAAAACAGTTGTGAAATAAAATGTTCTGGTAACTAACAGCAATATATTTGAATAGAATATTAATGAAGAAGTGATGATATCCTAGAAATAAATATTACTTTCAAAGTCCAAATAGGATTACATTTGTGGTCTGCAAATCTTAGTCAAGATATTTTATTTAAATTTTGTGTACATTAGTAACCAGTGAGTTGACCATACTGTAACTCTAACCTTTTTGTTCTACCCCATGTAACACTAAAATGGTGTCAGGCAAACCCTGAGCTTCCTGTACTCAATTCTTGCACTCTGACATCTCAAGTTTTGATAATGTCCAGGCGGTGGCACTACCTGGTTATTACTAACTTGCATGCCCACTTGAGCTCACCTCTTTATTTGGTCTCTAAAAGTTCCACATGGACGGATCATGGGAGTTTTGCTTCTTTGTGCTCCCTAAAAAACTGAACTAATGAACTAAATAAAAGCCATACTAGTTTTAGATAGGTCCTGGGCAAGGGAAAAGTGTGTCCTTAAAAATAAGAAAGGAATCTGCAAGTTTTAAATTTGACAGATACAAGTTTTTAAGGAAAAATTCCCTAGTTCTGTAAGTAATTTAGAATAATTTTTCAAAGAAACAAATGCAACATAATTATAGTCTAGGCTAAGTTTGCAGAAAATATTTGTTGGGACCTACAACATATGACAGTAATTCAAATCACTAGAATGATAACAAGAATTTGCATTAACTGACTGACCAGTCCTGGTACTAAAATGTCAGATCAAGGGAAATTATTATCCCCATTTAAAGAAATTTAGAATAAAGACTCTCTGGGGAAAACTCCATTTGATTTATTCAAGCATGTCTTTCTTTCATTGATTTGATAGCTAGAAGCTCTCTTGGTCATAACAAGAACTAGGCATAAAAGGAAGAGGAATTCTAGTGTGTGACAGGATTTGAATCTTTGTCCTTTATTCTTAAGCAGCTCCTAGACATTGCAAGTACACGGATTTAACACTTCAAACAAAGTTGGACTTACAAATGTAAACCGAGACAAAATTATAAAATCCATGTTTTATTATCTTGAATGAAAAAATATTTTATTATAATACTTTACTATAATTTCTTAATAATTTAAAATCTTTTTTGTCTTCACCTGCCCTGCATTAACTGTTGCCCCATTTTACTGGCCTTTAATACAAAGTAAGAAAGAAAGAGAAAAAAAAACTCATATATATAATTACACAGACTTAAGCTATTGTTATCATTTATCACTTCCTCAGACACGTTATGATGAAATTCTGTTAGAGATTAATTTAAAATAATGTGAATGACTTTGGTTTACCACTATTGGTTTGTTGCACTGTCTTTTGTAAGTAGAAAAGACATGTCCCGTAAAAAAAATGTTAGAACATTTTTTTTGGTCACAGTAGTTTGTCAGTATGAGTAAACAGAATAAGTGCTTCCCAGCCAGTTGAAGAAATATCACTGACTATTCAATTGATGTTATTGTATAAACCATACATTTTTTCACACTCATTCAGTGTGCAGCATTAAACTTTTTTTCCTGGGATGCATGGGTTTAAAGCATTTAACTAGTGTTTAATATAAAGGGTGACATCAAAACTCATTTCATTTAGTGAGCTTGCTGTTGTGGATTTAAATAATAAAAGTTCCCTGCCTTGTTCTCTTGCAAAGGACAAAAACATGATCCAATGTAGAAATACTAATGCTATCCCAAATGTATATATTTCATCATGTTCATTTTCTGTCCTCTGCCATTAGTTTTAAGTAGGGCACTACTCAAATCATACCCAATATTAACCACTTAAATATCACCACCTTACCTTCCTAATTTATAGTAGTACTATTATTTGTATTTTGAACAATAATATGGCACCACTCCACACCTCTATTATTGTTTGTATTATTATTATCATTGTTATAACAAGAGTCCCCAAACAGATATTTTAATTGCAATATCAAAATATTCATGTGGTGATCATTTTCCAATATCATTTCCATGATAGACTAGTTAAGCTCCTTGTGCCCAATGCATACTGTTGGGGACCACTGATAAATAGAACCCTACATTCTTATTGTTTCTTAATGTTTTGTATAACATTGCTATCATCTTAACTCTCTTAGTATCTATATCTTTAAAACAACTATTTAAATTGCTAAACAATAACAGTTCTTATGGCCATTTGAAGTTATGAGCAAAGATTTTTTTTATAAAAGGATTACCATAAAAATCATTTCATACTGTGTTAGAATATTCCTTTACTTTGAGCAAATAGACATCAAAAGTAGACATGGCTTTAGCATAATTCTTCATTACCAATCCTTCACCTCTAGTGGAAGTTAGTTAAGGAACACAGTTTTCTATATTTTAGAGTTTATACAGAATAATTATGATTAAGCTTTAACAAAACATCATTCCTTCAAGGGAATCAACTCCTCAGTCTTCCTCCAAGTTATGGTCCTATGAGTCAGGGTCAGATTATCAACATGTACCTTGTGTCCAAGGATTCTGTTTGACTCAATACAAAAGCTCTAGATACACCTGACCAATTCAAGCTCAAGTTTATTACAACTTTATTAAAGTTAATGGAGACAAAGTTAACCTAATTTAACAATGCTTGACTATCTTAGACATTTTTATGTTGTCTAAGCTTAAACATGCATATAAAACTAAAACTTAGTAATGTGTCTAAACTTTAGAGTAACTCCTGCATTATGCATGTTACAGGTTAAGCCTTCTTCAATTGGCTGTAAGTCTGTTACAGGCTTAGCCATTGTGTTATTTCATTCATACTGAGGTCTAACCTTTATCATATTTTTATGTATTCACTCATTTTTCTATGATTGCTACTGCAATTTCATTCAATTCATTATTCCTACTAAAACCATCATTCTTCTTTATTTGTTTTTGTTAATAAGTTAGGAGTTGTGTAATTATTTATGACATTTGAAACATTGCATGAAGTGTTTTTTTAAACACAGTAACTATTTTAAATTTTTGTTTTGTTTTTATAAATTTATTCATTGTTTTAAAGCTTCGAAGAAGAGAGAAAAAAAAGTCATTTTTAAAAAAAGAGACCTTTTGTACTGTCTCAAATATTTGTCGGCATAGTTAAGATTTATTAATATTGGCCATGGTGTAGCTATAAAGTTAAGGCCCCTGGGTGACTTTATTGCTAAAATTACAAATTTTTAAAAATAGAATTGTGTGAATTATTTTTTAAAAAATCTCTTACTGGTTCTTTCAAAATGTTAACCTTTATTTTTATTAAAAAATATAAAATAATAAACAGATTCTATTAAAAAGTATAAAATAATAAACATATTCTAAATGCATCAGCTTAAATAAAACCAAAGCCAAAAATAGTAGAAGACCAAGTGATAAAGTTTTAGTTATCTGAAACTATTGATGTTATTTATTAAGTATTTAATTCTAAGATAGGGCCCCTTAATGCCTTGCTACTTTGATGTTTGTTAAGGTATCGATCATATGAGATGGTGAAACTGCTTCCGTAAATTATTGTAGAGACATGCATGCTTACTACATCTGATGATTGTTAATGCTTGTCTGTGCCTTCACTTGCTTGTAGTTATAGCAGAAGAAAAGCAGCACCAGGAGCACATAGCAAATATCAGCCAATTTAAGAGGACCAGCCTGAAGAGGGCAGAATCATTGGAGAAGGGTTGTCTCCCCTCACAAGATGGTAGGTCTGCCGGTGGATGTGGCATCTGACCGTTGCCACTTGTACCAGTGTGATACAGCGGCACTGCATGACAACACACTGCACTGTAGCCATACCTATTAACTGCCGAATTATGTTTGATATGCAACAGTTTTTTAAGTAATAATATTTTTGTAACCACACCATGTAAATCCTTATATACAGTGTAACTGCCTAAACCTGATGATGAACATATGATAGCATTAGCAAATTGTTTTTTGGAATGTGGCTTAAGTTTGATACAGCAAAACTATTGAGGGGCTTGTACATGCATTAGTTTGACCACTGGCATGCATTTACATGTATTAGTTTGACCAATGGTGTGCATGTTTATGAATAATTCTGGATAATGAGGTACATGCACAGACAGATTATGTGCTTAAGGTCATCCTTCAATCCACTCATTTTTTTGGTATTGATTAAATTTGTGCACACATTCAATTTTGAATTGCCATAGTTACTCTCATTATCTCATTAGTTTCTTCAGTCATGTTTTAGGTTTATTGAGCTGAGAGGTTCTCAGTTAAGTTATCCAGTATTATATCTAATGCATTTGGCTGAATGTTAAGGCCATGACAAGTTTACCTACAACGTCTATCATAAAGTGTCTGCCATATTTAAGCCAGTACAGTAAAAATATGCATGCATAAGCGATTTTAAAGCTTTCCAATACAAATCCAACTTGATGTGCACTTGAAAGACCTCTCTGAAAATGCCCTAAGCCCACACCCTTGCACAGCTATTGATGGCCTCTCTCAATATGGACATTTTTTTTTCTTTTCTTTTATCAAAATGTTCGGTACTCAGTAGGGGTGTGCCGGATCCGTTTTTTCCAACCGGATCCGGATCCAGATTTTCTTATGCGAAATCCGCCGGATCCGGATTCCGGTTTCTCCCGGATTCCGGATTTTGGTACTATTGGTAGATACTTCGGTAAGTCAAGGTGGACTACTACTTTTTGTGTATGGGAATTCGCAATCGGCGCCAAAAAATCCGAGTTTTTAATTTTCCGATGTGTGTGTCTATTTATTATTAAATTAGTACTTTCGATATATATTTGAGTTCCGTTCCATTTGGATAAGTGTCTTACGAGAGACGCCATGTTTCTACGCGTTCGCAGCAGGTTATGCAGCTCGCTCAACCTAATTTCGCCATGGGGTTGGCCACGCCCCCCTTTTTAATGGCGGAAGTTGACGATACTTAGGAAATATTAATTTATTATCACTATTTACATCAAAATAATTGATAACTTGTGTTTCAGAATGCATTTAAAGACATTTAAACTGGAATGTTTTAATTTGAGCTTTAACAACCCGGTAGAATCCATATTATAAATGATCAGAATTTACCGTGTGCAACACGTTGTCATTGGCAACCATTCACAGCCACTTGCATAACTGTATCGTAGTACTACCTCAGAGTTTCATTCATAAGAGTTTGCCGTGTGCAAAAACTATTAAACCATTGGTCAGGGAAAGCTTTAATTAATTATTCATGTGCCAAAGTTGAAAGTTTAAACTAAGTCTAAACAGTATTTTAGTGATAAGGCAGGGAATGCGTTGCCTTATATAAACTATATAGTCATTGCGCATGACGGGATTGGCGGAATGAGATCACAGAATGTGGAGATGCAGTCCATGTTAAAAAATGACAAACCAAGTCGTACTTTAAAAATTCATAACTTTAAAACTACAACAGCTAAAAATATGATTTTGGTGTTATAATTCTTTAAAAAATTACATCTTTTCAACTATGCCATTGGTTTATTTTTACAAAAAGTTTAAATTTTCTTATCAAAGTCCCTACACTATTGGCAACTATTAGCGGTGCTGACTCTAGCCTCTGGTATGTACGGAATATTAAACATTAAACAAGCTCAACGCTCGAAACAATCGATTAATGTATCGTGATCGTGTGGAATTTGGGAAAGAGAATTACTTTTATTTCAGATTATGATCCGGTGAGTCACAAAATCTGGCAAATTCCGAAATCCGGTATATTCCGGATTCCGGAATCCGGTTGTTTCGGATACATGTAAATCCGGCGGAACCGGATTTCACCGGATAGTGCAAAATCCGGCGGAACCGGATTCCGGACCGGGGTCCGGCACACCCCTAGTACTCAGTACCTGAGTTAGTTTATCTTACACTGTCTCAAAATTTTATTAGATTTACACAAACAGCTGGTAACTGACATCATGTCAGTAGTTACTAACTAGTTTAGTAAAGCTAAGATCTAAGTATTTACGCTGACCATATTTTAAACAAATTTAAGGCCTTAAAAAGATCATGTATTGCAATAAGAATGAAGTGTCATGCATGTAACAGCTGTGGTGTAAGTTGCCTTGAAACACATCCTTCATTTTTTAATGGCTCATATCTTCCCATTAAACCACCATCCCTTGTTTAATTAAATACTTTTTATAAATTAATATTTATAATTAAATGAGTTGGTCAAACTGTTTAACTTATGTCAATTCACGAGTCTCTGCCGAAGTCCCTGTTCTGTATTCTGACTAGTAACATGAGCAGCCATTGTTCATACTCTGTGCTCCATCCATGTACTGTGTGCCTGCTTGAATTGAACCACTTGTTTATTTCTGTTTCAGTCATCAACCAGGAGAAAACTGAGGCTGAGCTGAGAGAGAGAATAGGAACATTCAACAAGGACAAACTGAAGCCCACCACCACAGAGGAGAAGACTGTCCTTCCCAGCCCTGATGGTAGGAATTGGTAGAACTATTGTTGTTATTTATTTATTTTAAAGGGGATTGGGGCTTGGCGTAATAGTTTGTGTTTGGTTTTTCTGTTATGATGACAGGTTGTTCTTTGTACCATGTAAGTATAGGACATAGAGTTGTATTGCATGTTAGTAAGTATTCTTATGGGCAACCCATTAGTAAATGAGCTGTTGGAAATCATTGTATTCAGTAACTCAGGTCATGGAGTTGAGTGGTGTGTTGGTAGACCATTAACTTTTGTAAAAATATAATCCAATAATAATCAGTTTTGTTCATGTTCAATGAATTTGTCTTTGCTGTGCTCAAGTTGATATCGTGACATGAAATACAACCCCCCACCTGAATTAAACATCTCAAGTTGTCCTCACACACAGATAAGCCTTCATGACAAGTGTACTTCTGTCCTTCTTGTAATCATTTTGGTTAAATCAGTGCCCAACATCTAAAAATCCTCTGGGAATATTCAGTTAACCCTCTTAAGCTTTTGCTCAATCCTACATTTTAAAGATCCGCCGTGTACGAGAAAATTTATTTTTTAAAATTTAATTATTATTGATGTATTAACATGATTAAAACAAAATTCTACTAATGGAAGCTGAACATAATTCTCTTTATTGAGAGATCTTCTGAGAATTGAATGGACTCATCATTTCTCCACAATAAATTTATCAGTTATTAATTCACATTTATCTATTATACAATGAGATCATAATTAGATCTTAGCGTGGCTGGTTAAGACGCATCATTTGTGCTTGTAATTTGTCACCATAATCATCAATGCTGAGTAAACTGTCCGCTGAAGCCACTTCCATAGGAATTTCGTAGAGGCCTGATGCTTGGTGTACTTTTCATGAGTTAATTTTATGACACTAAACATTACCTACTTAAACTTATCAGAGATACGACATGAAAAAGTAGAAATGGAAATAAGGGAGAGAATTGGATCCTTCCATAAAGAGGATTTGAACCACATTCAAACACAGGAGAAGGTGGTGTTGCCTTCTGGAGATGGTAATTTGATTCAGATAAATGTTATTTGTATTATCACAATATTCCATTTTTATTAATGTTGTGAATTAGTCAATTTTTTTTAGTCTTTGAGCTAGTTTGAATTTTTATAGTTTATTTGAATTTGTATAGTTTATGGGGTTTTAACTTTCTTGAAAACAAAACTCTTAGAAAATTTCCAAGTATATTTCGCAAAAAAAATTTAATAAAACAATTTTTTATCTAGGTTGGTGTATAGATTTAAAAAACAACTCCATTATATATTTTTAATCTGTCTATATTTATCTAATGTTTTAGCTTAACATTAACAATATATCAACATTATAGCAATCTTAGTGTGTTTGTGTTAAATGACCCAATAGTCGAGTAACACCCAATTACTTTACCATTAGTAGCAAGGTTAGTCATCACATACATATTAATGAAATTATTTGGAAAAAATGTAAGAGAGAGTGACACTTGTTTTTAAATTTTCCAACTGACACTTTGTTAGCACTAGTGAATATATATATTGAAAATAATTATGAATGGTTAAAAAAGACTTAAATATTAAATAAGAAATCAAAAAAGTTTTAAAGAAATCCTATACACTGTAGATACACTTTGCTGTAGCCAGTGCTTACAGATATTATAATGTACACTAGTGATTTATTATCAATTATCCAAGAGCTATCAATTTATTTCTTTGTCCTTTACAAACCTGCTTAACTTTCCTGCTGTTAGAGCAATAATAATGATGGGTTGTAACTTTTCCGTTTCCACAAAATTGTTGTTTCAATGTAAAATAGCACTTGCTTCACAATTCATTGATATTTGATTTACTTTTAGAGTTTGAGAGTGGAAATGGGTTGAAAAACTGACATAATCCAAGGATAGCACCTGTTAAAATTTAGCATGACTTATTCCATGTTTTAAAAATATGTCTTCTTGAAAATAACACTCGATGAAATTTTGAGTTATGTCCAAACTCCTGTCAAGAAATGTTTCCATACTTTACATAGGTAAACTGAATTTGATTAATGTCAATAATTTTATTGTCACATAATGTAAGTTAAACATTTTGATAAAGTAAAGATATCCTTTGTCATAAATATGATAGATGACCTCACATTGAATTAATTCAGTATTCTAGATTTTATATTGATTGATTGAATACTTTTATAGCGCTTGTGACCATGCTGTTTTAGCATGATCACAGCGCTCTTGGCTCTAATGTCCTAAAATCTATTTAAAGATAAAAATCTTAAAATTTTTCTTAAATGACTTTCTATAATTTTCGATTTCCCTCAAAGATTGAGGCAAACTGTTCCATAATTTAGAAGCAATATATGTTTACCCAAATTGTGGCTAGTAATGCTTCCTAATTTGAGAAATTTTATTTACTTTATATTGCTTGAACGCAGTCCCTCAAATATTAAACTTAAAATGCATCAGAAAGTAGACTTACAGGTTGTTGGCACATTGATAAATAGTTTGATATCCTACTTAGGCAATATATTACCAAAAGTTTGCTGACTCCTGGTCTAGGTTATCCTGTTTACTTGTACCCAGTCAAACCTAGTGGTCATCCCACCTTTAAATAGTCTTGGTGTTTTCACAGAAACAGCATTTTAAAAGGGATTAGAAAATGTACGTCTCTTTTAAAATATGAATACTCATTGGTGCAAAAAAAAATTAATTTAAAAAAAAATTGTTAGGATCAGTTTAAGATCTTTGTTCCAACAAAGCTCCCATTTTTCTCATTAATTTGATGAAAAAGCATCAGTAAAAATAAATTAAATCAATCATTTTCTTTCTTCCCTCTTAATTGTGATGTTACCCATAATATTATGGTTAGTATTAATACTTCCTAATTTAAGATATTGAAACTGTTTTTCAACATGTTCATTAGTTAAGGTATAAATTGACTACACCAACACTGTCATTGTTTTAGACCTTCCCTGTAATAATAATTAGAAGACTGTTATTAAAATAATTAAAACTGCCATTAGATATTTTATGTCAGCCATTTTATGCCAGATCTTCATCATGAAAGAGTGGAACAAGAACTAAGGGAGAGAATAGGATCTTTCCATGTGGATGATCTCCACCATACAGAAACAGAGGTTAAGATTGTCCTCCCAACTGAAGATGGTACAAACAATAAACATCCCAAAACTATTCCCCCCCCCCCACTTTCTCGTATCTTCTCCTGCTGAAATGATGAAGTTTTATGTTGGTTAAAAGCTTTGGTGGATCCCCTTCTTCCTTATTTAAAAAAAAATGTAAATAACATTCAAGTTAACAGCTTCTCCCTTAGTGAACATGAGTAAAGTAAACTGGCTTTGATACAGTATATGTTAATAACAAGACATAATGTGTGAGGCTATGAAATGATGGGCCTGAGTCTTTTATTTTGATTATGATTTCAGATTTCAGACTCAGAAATATGGCAATTTACAATGGATCCCATGATTGGTTCAAAGCATGATTGGGTTATATCAATGATGTATGAAGATAGTGACATATCTTTCACATGTTTATTTTAATGATATATCCAAACATTAGTAACAAAAATAATAAACCTTTTTTTTTAAAAACTAGAAATTACTGTGCCCGTTACAGTTATATTTTAAATCTAAAAAGTGTGTCAACAACATGAAAGTTTTGGAAACTCTGAGGCAGAATGATCCCATCAATACTTTCACAGTTGCCTGTACATTTTATCATCTCTAGTGTTTAATCTTGTGACAACAGAATTAGATGGTTATTTTTTATATCCTTTTCTTTTTCCCGGGGGGGGGGGGGTTATGTAATCCTTTTTGTTATAAATTATGCTTTATCATTAGAATCTTATCCAGTGGTGTTGTTTTTTTTTTTTTTCTTTTTTTTTTCCCGGGGGGGGGGGGTGTTATGTAATCCTTTTTGTTATAAATTATGCTTTATCATTAGAATCTTATCCAGTGGTGTTGTCTTTTTTAACCATGGCTTAATATAGATTAAATTTTTGACAGGTTTCAAATCCTTCTCAAAATATTGATATTTCATCCTATAGCCTTATAATAGAGAGCTGTTAAATCTGTTCACATAGTTGAAATCAATTACCTGGTATTGCTTTTTCATAATGTATTATTGTGTAATAATAGGACATTCTTTACATTTATTACATGATACATTTAAGTGCTCACTCATTATTTAACTATTTAGTGTAAAGGCAGCTTTAAATGTGTTTCTATTTAAATGCAAAGCTGTTAGTTGAAGTACAATGTCGGACAGTGTTAAAGTTTCTACTCTTAAAAAAATAAGTGTTTGTGCTTCATGTCGTCCATTATCTAAACCCCACCCTTCTCTCTGCCTTCAAATCTAAATGTGTACGGTATGCCATATAAAACTGTAACTGATATAAATCAGTTTTAAAATTTAAAAAATTAACAGCTAACACTAGCAATAATTTTTGTGTGACCTTTAATCTCAGAGTTTTTAATTTAAGTAATTAAATTACAATCTTAAATTATTTATTCACCTTAAAACTAAGACAACTCAATCATTAAATGAAAAATTAACCAGCCTCATTTACAAGGGAGTGAATGATCTCCTTTGAAAACTTGATGACTTGCAATTTAAAAAAAAAATATTATAAGTTTTTAAAATAATATTGTTTTTTTTTGTTGTAAATTTACATTTTTGTGATAAATAGTATGTTACCAGTATACTAAAAGCTGAGCATTTTCAAAAGACATACCAATGAAAACAACATTTACCATGTCATTCAATTGAAAAGAAATTAAATTCCAGATATGAATTATGGTTTTTAATGCTTATCTTTATTACTGGATTTAAACCAGATATTCACCATGAGAAAGTAGAACAGGAGCTCAGGGAGAGAATTGGCTCATTTCATTTGGAAGATCTTAACCACACAGAAACTGAGGTCAAAGTTGTCCTCCCTACTGAAGATGGTACATTGCCACTGGTCACCCATCATATGCTATACTTCTTTCAGCTTGTTCCTTACCCGGAATCATGAATTCAATACAACTTTGTGTTCCTTGATTTATTTGATCTAACAGTTATGTTACGCACCTCAAAACTCAACTAATCAATCACATCTAGTCTTTTAGTGTAACCCAGTTTTATCAATCTTAATAAATAAACAAATTAAGAATTGCTTGTCATTTTGAAATGAAGCAGACCATTTTTTATCTTTCAGAATGACTTTTAAAGAAATGTTCAATATTTTATACAATTTTTATTGTTTTTAAAGAACACAAATTTAACAATTCTCTCACTCCCTACGTTTCTGCCCATGAGCATTTTCAATCCCATTTTTTCCCTTTGTTTGCTTTTCATCCCAAACCTTTTCCTGTTTAAAATATTTTGAAACAAATTATAAAAATATTTGAATTAACAACCAAAGCAAAACACATATGCTGTGGTCAATTCTCACATTAACATTACCTTGCAGCAGGATATTCTGTAATTTTATGTTTTGATTTCTCATAGAGGAAAAAGTTAACAGTATATTTGTCATTTTGAGAAAAGGTCCTCCAGCAATTGAATTTTAGAACTATTATATTTAAAGCCATTCATATACACTAATTAAATGGACATTTATTTGAAAAGAGTAACTCTTAAAGGCAACTCAAAAATAAAAATATATCTGGCAGTAGTAAGTCAACATCTTGAATAATCATTATTCAATTAATGTACAAATGTATAATTTCAAGTTTCTTTGTGCTTGAAAACTGCATACTGCCCATTATTTTACTACCATCCTGACCTTTTGATTGTCTTGATCTTTAAAAAATTATTTCTTATTTGATGAGTTCTTTTTATTTTAATTTTGGTTTGGGGGGAGCATTTGCTATTACTGGGAAGAATTCATCAGTTCTTGCTTTAAAATATAAATGTTTTTAAAAAGTTGAGACATTAAAGTGTCAGTTTCAACAACAAATTAGTCATATCATTTAACCAATGCATTTAATTGGTATGAGGAAATTTGTTTAAAAGAAATTTGGTGGAAGGAAAATTAATTGATGGAAGTGAAATAGCTTTTGTTGTTAGAAATCAGTGTTGCCCACATAACAAATTCAAACGAGATTATCCGACATAATGGTAGCAGAACTTACAGAAAGTATGCATATTTTTAAGGTGTTGTATTTCTATTTTTACTTAATTCCCTGAATTTTTAATAACGAGCCTACTGTACAATGTTTTTATTTTTAAATTCAAACAAACTTTCATAGAACAAAATTCATTTCGAACAATTTTCCCAGTTTCTCAATCACATTTCTTTGCCCAAATATATAAAAAATCTTGGCCTTAAAAACATGTTTTGCACCTGTAAGCCAAACAAAAAAAATCAGTTATAACAAACCTTTGTGGGATCAAATTTTCCTTCGACCAAACTTCCACCTGAGTTCCACCTACCCATTTTTAAAAACAAATGTACTGTTAATCTATTCAATAAGAAAGTTATCTAAATGAACTGATAAGCATTTACTGTAAATAATGATAAGATAGAAATAATATTGTCTTGTTTATTGGATTCTCACATAGTAGCAGAGCTAACATTAGACATATCTAGAAGTTGACATCAACAAATAACTTGGCCGTAAATACAAATGTAAATAAACTTTATCATGTAACAGCTGTTTTTGAATAATCTTATATTTAATTGATGTGTTTTCCTTATTCTAATTTTCGCCTTGTATCTGCTCCACGTGAAAAGGGATAAAGAAAAATAAAGCTGAATTCAATCTATGATCTTTATTAAACTTTTAATTGGAAAAAAAATATCTCTTACTATTAATTACATGTAATCAGCTTATTTTTTTTTAAAAATTAAAAAATTCAGTCTTGGTAACAATAACATTTGTTTTATTTACATTGGCATTACTTTTATTTTACAGAAACTTTTAGATCTGTATTTTAAAAAAGCTAAATATTGTGCACTGTAACATAAAAATTAAACTTTTTTTGTCTTTTATAATATTTATAAAACATTTTAATAATTGTCTATGAAATTTGGGGAATTAATTTAAAACTCTTCTTTTTTTCTTTACCTTAGTAAGGCATCTTACATTTATTTTAGTTCAAACTGCATTGTAGCTACCAAGCATTGATATGCCCTACATTTAAAAAAAAAAATATATTGATTTAGTATTTATGAAACAGATTCTTATTAAATGGCTTAACTTACATCAGTATAAAAGCTCTATTCTAAAAAAAATACCTTAATACCTTGAAATTAAAATTACAATTAAAACTACTGTTCTTATAATCTAAAGTAAAAAAAAAAATGTAATGGAGAAAAAACCTCTGACTGCACAGAAAAAATCAGTTGTCCCTACATTGATGATGAAATATTGGTGAGACATATTTATAATAGTTTTGTTTGTCCACTGTCCCCAGTGATTGAACAAGAGAAGCAGGAACAGGAACTGAAAAACTCCATCAGCTCCTTCAAGAGGGCCAGCCTCAAGCACACAGAAACACAAGAGAAAAATCCCCTTCCTCCCACTGAAGGTACACCTGATCAAACATTGATTATGTCTTTGTTTCCTACATGGATTTCTACTGGCTCATAGTTTTATGGAAGATATATTTTAAAAAAAAAATAGTTTTGGATAATTGGCACGTAAAATCTTGTCTTTGTTTAAAAATGTATGTGTGGCTTATTTATTTCTGGAGCGTATAATATACATTTATTTAGCTTAGCATACTATATTTATCAGAGTGTCTGTATTCTACATGTATCAGATAGTGCTTGTATGTGCCTTATGTGCTCAGGAAATAAGCTAATCAGCTTTTTTTTTCAGCCATTCAGCTGGAGAAACAAGAAACTGAGTTCCGCAACTCTATTGAAGGCTTTGAGAAGAACCAGCTGAAACATGCCAAAACAGCTGAGAAGAACCCTCTGCCAACCAAAGAAGGTACTGCCTCACAAGTTCCTTTGTTGAAGCTGCAAAAAAAAAAAAAAAAAAAAACATTTTTAAATTATATGTACTTAGCAGAATGTGTTTTGCATGCAAGGGATTAAGGCAAAAGTTTTGAATATTGCACCTTCAAAGTTCCAGTGATGACACTGAAATCTAAGTAAAATAAAGAACTGATTGCCTTATTTTCAAGTGATCCACAAACTTTTAGCCTGATATGTATGACTAACAAAATTGAATCAGTTTATAAAAAACATTTTGAGTTGATAACATTTCTAGCTTCATTAAAAGCAATTGATTTGAGCATAATAAAACTAGTTATAAAGAGTGTTGCATTAAATTATTTGTATGATTTTCAGAATTACTTCAAGAAAAAAAGGGCAGCAAGTAAAGGACCCCAGTGTGACATCTGTGAGCTACAACACAAAACTGTTCAGTGCTGCAGGATGTCTACTCTCTACTGCTCTATCAGATGATGTGTCAACTTGGGGCATCTTATGATCAGACAACTTCAGAGCCCGTCTCATAATTATGAGGATTTCACTTTATATAGGATTACTTTCTTCCAATGCAACATTGACTAACATAATTAGAAAATCAATAAAAATATTAGTTCAGTTGTTAGTTGCTAGATAAACAAAGGGATAGAGAAAAAACAATTTTTTTGAAAAAAAAAAATTAATAAATTCAGATCTACTGGTCATATTTGTGCCCCAATGAGTTATGAAATCATTATTTGGCTGCAGCTAAGAGAGCAAACTTGCCATGAGAACCCACATTGTTTTGTTGCTTCCTCCAGTTATTTCTCACATTTAAATACCAAGTCACTAAAATGGAATATCCAGCAAAGTAGTGGTAATGCAACAAAAATTTCTCAGCTCTCACTCTTGCGGAAGGGGAATGAAACAAAGGGTTCTCACAGCTTGTTTCTTGAGGCTCCTGCAAATCAAGTTGTTTATTTGATACAAGCTTGTAAATAAGTGCCTACCATTCACATATTCCTGACTTAACCATTGGAATTATTATCTCATTTTTGCTCCCCATCATTTCTAATACTGTACTTCTTCACTTGGTAAGTTGAGCCAAAGGAATAAATATCTAACAATTTTTCCAAGAATATCGTCAACACAGATCAAAACCCTAGAAACCTGAAAAAGCTTTCCCATTAAAAAAAAAAGAAGAAGATAATCAAATTTATCAAACCATATTCACTCAGCTTAATGACTTGATGTCAAAATTGCTTTCAAACTAACACCACATTTCCCTCAAACTAACACCACATTTCCCTCAAACTAACACCACATTGCCCTGTAGGTTCCAAAGATCATTTGCCCGATTTGGTCTGCTTGTTGCCTGCAATGATGCACAACATCTTGGAAGTGTGTAATCTACCAGGAGCCTAACCTACCACAACTAAGATGTTAATGTTTAAGATTTATTTTTAAAAAAAAATAAATTAACTTTTCACCCAAAAAAGTTAAGGATTTATTGTGAACCATTAGGTCGGCTTGTGTGTAGATTAGGCTTGCAATGGGTGGATGTGGTTAATTAGCGGATGTGGTAAAATATTTAGATTCCATTTTTATGATTTATGATATGGCTGCTTAATTTAAAATTGAACTTTGACATTTTAAATGGAGACGAAGGGAACATTTTGTATTATTTCAATATTGGTGCTACTGATGATATTTTGTAACAAATTAAAAAAAGAAAACTTTGTAAAATAAGTTACCTTGTGTGAATTAGTGAAGAGGTTGTTGTTACAGTAATTAGCACATGTCAACAAAGTTCATTATAATTATATTGGTCTTACTCCTCATTTCTTCTGTATCTATTCTGAGATATTTTTCCTCTATGGGTTTTATTATCATTATTATTATGAAATGAAAGTGTGTAATCTATATATTTTCTGCTTTTTTTTTTTCTCCATGTTCCAAAGAGTTAATGCACATGCTTAAGGTAATAGAATACTACAAAATAATTGTTCTGTAGCATTATCATAATAATGTACATTGTCCTGGATACAGAAATGTATTTTGCAGGGTAGTTCTTTTCATTTTGTTCATTCAATTAATGCTGAAATATTTTCTGTTGAAAAACTTGTTAACTACCAAAATGTTATGAAGCTGTACCCCAACTACATCACCTGCTTACCTAATGTACTCAAGGTTGGATTCTGTTCAAATCAAGCTTGAAAAAAAGAAAAACTAATTGAGAAATATCTTGAACATTCCTCTACAATGAAAATCTGCCACACCAACAGGAAAATGAAAGGGCATGATTACCTGTGTTGTCAATGATAATGTACAAACTTTGATTTTCATATTAAAAAATTTTTTCTGTATCTTGACACCAGTCTTCAATCTTCATTTTTTTTGTTTTGTCTATTGCTCTCAGTAAAAAATATCTTTTGATGGTTTCATTATGGGTATATTAAATGACACATATGTTGATTTTGGAGTAAGATGTGTGAACAGTGGCACTTTTAACTACAGCTGGTGTCTCTCTGACCATCTAAGCAAATTATTTTATTTCCTAATTTTATGACCTTGTAAGTTTTCCCAATCCATTTCCTAAAAATATTTAGACATTGAGTGTTTAGCTATTTAGCCAATATTTTAGTAGATTAATTTAGATGGACCTGGATACAAACCATTTGGTACACCACCCTGCCAATTTAGAGGCCAAGAATCTGATTGATAGTTATAGTAGGGCATTCGGGCAAATATAAGGGGAAGACTATCTGCTTGGTCAGCCATAGTGGTGGTTTAATGCATAAAACTGATTGGCTAATGCTTTGCGAACATCTAATCATAGTCACCATCCATCTTGCGGTTTGCAAAATGAAGTACATACCGTATCAATTTGACTGAAAACTCCTTTTTTGTTTTTTCAGTTGTTATTTTAATTGCCTTTAGATTTTGTCCTTGGTGCTAAGCTATCTTGGGATCTAAGCATTTGATGTTCCTTTGTGATCAACAGCTGCGTGCAAGTGGAAAGAGAAGCGTGTGTGTGTGTGGGGGGGGGG